TTTTTTTCCTTTATATTGACAGAGCATTTACAGATACCATACATCCAAATGGAAGCGAGTGTGTGAATGGAATATGAGTGAACACACAGGAGGAATTGGTTCCCACTTGACCATGGTGCAGAAACACATTCCAAACAAACACGCTCCACATTCATATGTAGGCAGCCAAGCTTTGTCCGGATTTATTTAGGATAGATGTTTACAAATTCCAGTTACAAAATTTGAAGCTTAATATAATCACAATACTTTGATTTGATATAGTTTAGGGCTCCATCCCGGTATGATATAGCAAGTGTAATTATGTTTGTCTCATTTCTTCTTTGTAATTGATTGTGATTAATTGAGCATAACATCTTTAGACTGAAAGCGGTGACAGCATTACTAGTATTTTGAATGCCATAAGCCGGCTGTTCTGATAATGTGCTGTAAGGGAGAGGAGGTGACGTACAAATGGCAAGAGTGCAGGGCAACTTGGATGACAACCATCCACTCCTAATAAACTTTTGCATCATTCATTTGATGTCTTTGTCATTTATCCAGTTGCACAGTCACACAACATCACCCATAAATAAACTTACTCTATACATTAAAAATCCATCGCACGTCAGTCTCTATGAGAGGGGAGACGCACAAACGACAACGCATGGTAACCAGTTAAAATACTTTGTCATACCTGGCATTGCAGCAGCAGGGTATTCTAAGATGTTTTTTAGTCCTGCCTTTTGTCTCAAGCAGCAGTTTTTTCATCCAAGTTGCCCTGCACTCTTGCCATTTTTACGTCACCTCCTCTCCCTTACAGCACATTATCAGAACAGCCGGCTTATGGCATTCAAAATACTAGTAATGCTGTCGCCGCTTTCAGTCTAAAGATGTTATGCTCAATTAATCACAATCAATTACAAAGAAGAAATGAGACAAACATAATTACACTTGCTATATCATACCGGGATAAAACCCTAAACTATATCAAATCAAAGTATTGTGATTATATTAAGCTTCAAATTTTGTAACTGGAATTTGTAAACATCTATCCTAAATAAATCCGGACAAAGCTTGGCTGCCTACATATGAATGTGGAGCGTGTTTGTTTGGAATGTGTTTCTGCACCATGGTCAAGTGGGAACCAATTCCTCCTGTGTGTTCACTCATATTCCATTCACACACTCGCTTCCATTTGGATGTATGGTATCTGTAAATGCTCTGT